GCAAACGACTCGACGGCACATAACAACAACATCATTAAGATCACATTCAAGCAAGACTCTGCTGCTGATTATCCAAAAATGGCTGAAACAGCACATCAGCAGAGAACTGCCTGAAGTGCAGGCTGGATTTGGAAGAGGCTGTGGTATTAGGTAGGGTTATTATAGCTAATGTCAGGTGGATCTTGACTGAAAGCAGAGTGCCAGAGGAATGTCTATATGTATTTCATCGACTATGCAAAGGCAATTAACTGTGTAGATCACAAGCTGTGGCTACTCTGAGAAGAATGACAATCCCAGAGCACTTGATTGTGCTTATGCAAAGCTTATACTTGGACCAGGAGGCAGTCGTCAGAACAGTGCAATGAAGCACTGCATGATTCAAAACTGGGAAGGATGTATGCCAAGGATGTGTCCTATCTCCATACCTTTTTTAATCTGTATGCAGAACAGATTATCTAGGAGGCTGGGCTCTATGAGGAGAAATGTGGCATCAGGATTGGAGGTGGACTCATCAACATTCTATGTTATGCAGATGACACAACCCTGCTTGCTGAAAGTGAGGAGGACCTAGAGCGCTTGCTGCAGAAGGTCAAGAACTTCAGCCTTCAATATGGATTGAAGCTCAACATAAGAAAACAAATATTCTCATCGTTGGGTTGATTGGCAGCATCAAGATGGATAGTGAAGAGACTGAGATTGTTAACAGCTTCAGTTTGCTCGACTCTACAGTTAACACTCTTGGCACCAGCGGCCAGAAAATGAAAAGATGTATTGCATTGGGAAAGTTGACTGTCACAGGTTTCTCTAGAATGCTGAAGAGCAACGATGTCAGTCTGGAGACTAAGGTGCACCTGACACCAGCCATGGGCTTTGCAATTACTTGCTATGCATCAAAAGGTTGGAGAGTGACTAGGGATGATAAAAGGAGAACTGATGCCTTTGAGCTGTGATGCTGGAGAAGAGTATTAAATATACTGTGGACTGCTAGGAGAACAAACTGGTTTTTCCTAGATAGGTGAAACCAGGCTGCTCCTTGAAGTCAAGGATTCTCAAGATCGTCTGACACACTTTGGGCATGTTGCGAGGAGAAGGCAGTCCTCAGAAAGGGACATCATGCTTGGGAGGGTGGAAGGACAGTTCAAGAGAAGAAGACCCTCGATGAGCTGGATTGATTGAGTTACTAGGGTAATGGAGGTAGGTGTGTCAGAGACAATGAGAATAGCACAGGATAGAGCAGGGTCTATGGCTGTTGGACATAGGGTTGTTTTGAGTCACGGGTGACTCTACGGCACATAACAACAACTTTAAGTGTGTTATTAGGATAGGTCAGTTCTTGGAGAAGGAAATCATGCTTGATACAGTAGAAAGCGAGGAAAAAAAAGGAAACTCAACAAAATGGATTATCACAGTGGCTTCAACAATAAGTTCGAACAGCAGCAATTGTGAGACTAGTGGAAAGCTAGGCAGTAGCTTTATTTTTTTTCAATTACAGTATTTCAACCTTTTCACAAAGAAAATTCCAGGTTCACACAGCTTTATTGATAAATTCTATCAAATATTTAAAGAAGAAATTATTTCAATCCTATGCAGACTTTTTCAGAAAATATAAAAGGAATAAACATTTCTTTTTTAAATCTTGACATTCTACTGGTACTGGATATAGAACAAAAAGTTACAAGAAAATGACAAATGAGTATCCTTCATGAACCTAAATGAAGAATTTTAAGTAAAATATTGGCAAATAAAATCTTCCAATAGAAGAGAATATTATACCATGATTAATTTTCAGATAAATTCCATGTAATTGGTTTAACATTTAAACGATCCGTATTCTCTGTATTGTTGTAGCTGTTGTTTGCTCATTGTTGTTGCTGTTGTTCATTGCTGTTGAGTAGAGCATGACTCATAGCTATCCTATGAACAGAAGGCCTGAAGCCTTTCTGTAACTATTGACATTTATCAAAGTTCATGGAGTTTCCAGAGGCATGTTTAGGAAGTGGATGTCACTCCTGCGTCCAAATGTTAGCTCATACTGTCTACAAAGGAGCAAACTGTTATCCAGTCCTACATCACCCCCAAAATTTAGATCAGACCATTCTAATTCACAGGTCTTTATTAACTGATTCTCCAGAGTGAATCACTAGGTCTTTTTTTCCAAGTCTCCTTTGATCTGAACACTGCTGAAATCTTTTCAGTATCACAGCAACATTCAAGCCTTCCATAGCATGCATTGAGGCCATCTTTATGGATCAAAAGCTACACTTGCTGAAAACAAAGATGACTTGAAGCATTTACAGTGAAGTTCAAAGACTCTAGCCTTCATTATGAATTATACTTCATAAAGAAAATGAAAAGCATCACAGCTGAACCAGTAAACAAACATCATCATGATAAATATAAAAACAATTGAAGTTGTCAGTGATTTAATTTTGCTTGAATCTACAATACATGCCCATAGAAGCAGCAACAGTCAAGTAAAAAAAAAAAAGTAATGAACTTCAAAGAAAGAATTTTATGGGCAATAGATTTGTTGGAAAAAACATAGGCAGGTACAAGTTGGACAGTGAATAAGGAAGACCAAAAAAATTTGATGATTTTGAATTATTGTGGTGGCAAAGGAATGCGGAGTATAGCATGGACTCAAAAAAGAACAAACAAACCTGTCTTTGAAGGGAATCCAGAATGCTGCATAGAAGTGAAGATGATGTCCTAAATTTTAGTATGTTGATTTTGGTTGATTGTTGGTTGAAGGCTCTTGGTACAAGGAGCTCCCTTTACAATTTTATTCAGTTGGTCTAGTTTTGCAAAGTACCTGTTTATCTCAAAATGTTCAAATTTCAGTGTATTTTTGATGGACAATTTTGTTGGGTACAAGATTACTTGGTTGGCTCCCTACCCCTCACCCCCTTCAGGGTTTTATATCTGTCATCCTATTGCTTTCTTGCCTGAATGGTTTTTACTTAGACATTGGAACCTAATCTTACTGGTTCTCCTTTGTAGACGATTCTTGATTATTCCTGATGAGAAGAATTTTTTTGTTTTTAAGTTTAGAAAACTTTATTATGATATGCCTTGGTGTTTTTGTTTTGGAATTTATCCTGTTTGGGGTTCATGTAATTACTTGAGTGCATATTTTCTTATTTTCCATAATATTTGGGAATTTTAAAGCTGTAAATCTTCAGAGATTTTGTCTATGCTTTCTTTTGGTTGGTTCATGTTCTGGGATTCCAATCACCTATATAATTCCTCTTGATGTTGTTACACATACTTCTAGGGCTTTCTTCATATTTTTTTCTTATTGTTTCTCTAACAGCTTAGTAAGGGATGTGTCCTCCAATTTACTAATTGTTTCATTTTTTTCAATTCTCTTTTGTCTTTCTTATGCATTACCTATTTTCTGCAAATTTAAATCTTAATATTCTGACTTTGCTGTTGTTGTATTGCTTGCTTTTAATTTCCCAAATTTCCCAAATATTTTATCTGTCTGCTCTTGGTTTTCTCTTGTGTGGTTCTCCTCCCACCCACTCTCTTGTTTTCTGTGTTTTTCTCAATCTGTACAAGACATTTAAATAACATTCTTTTGAATTCCTTGTCCAAAAGTTCCAACAGAACTTTTTAATATGAAAGATTAATCGAATTAATCAGATTCAATTTTTTAATCTGAAAGATTTTCTTGTTCTGTTTTTGGTTCACTTTTTTGTTCCATCTTATCCTGGGTTTTATTTTTGGTTGGGTTCCCCCCCCATTTGGTTACTTGGTTTTTTGGTCTGGTTTGAGATTATCTGTTGCCTCCTCTTGTTGTTACTGATAGCATTGAGTTGGAAATGACCCATAGCAGACCCTCCAGTGGGTTTTCAGAGGCAGTTAATCACTCAGGAGGAGATTGCCCATCCTTCTTCCGTGGAGCAGCTGGTGGAGTCAAACTGTGTGTCTTTGGGATTGCATGGCAGCTTTCTGCCATTAGGTCACCAATGCTCCTGTTGTCTCCTAGATCTGGTGTTGTTTTTGTGGCTCTAGAGATAAGATGTTGGACAGGCAGTGTTTTTTTTCTGTTATGTATAGGGTCGTCATGAATCTTAACGGTCTTGTGAAAGGTGGACAATGAATAATGTAGAAGAATTGATACTTTGAATTATAGTGGTTTGCTGTTGGGTTGGAACCAACTCATAGTTGACCCTCCAGTGAGTTTCCAGAGGCTGTAAATTACATAAGAGGATAGCTAAATTGCCTGTCTTCTTCCATGGAACTGCTAGTGTATTCTAACCATATGCCTTTGGTTGGTAGCATAACTTTTTACCATAGGGCCACCAGAGCTCCTTAGAACAAGGTTAGGTGCTAATGAAATGTGGCCAGAGTCTTGCAGGAACCTTACCCTGTATTATCTTGAGAACAGTTATTTGCTAATTTACTGTTTTCCTGAGAACACTATTTGTGGCATCCTTAGAGAACATGAATGTCACAAATAATGGGATCTGCTTCCAGAAAAGCAGTCATTTTTTTGTGTATGTAAAATTCACTGTCCTAGAATAAAAGACATATATATGCTTCCTCAGTAGAATCTTATTGACATATAATATGTACTTAACGATTTTTTTGTCTGCTGGGTTCAGGACTCCTATGATTTTAAAGCAAAAAGTACTCCTTAAGTTTTAAATTTTTGCTTTTCTCTGTAGGTATTTTATGCACGGTGTGTGCCGAGAAGGAAACCAGTGCCTGTTCTCACATGACTTGGCAAACAGCAAGCCCTCAACCGTCTGCAAATACTATCAGAAGGGCTATTGTGCCTATGGAGCTCGTTGCAGGCAAGGACTTCCACTGTCCCCAGCAGTTTTCCTGAGTTCAGTATTTCAGGGATTCACATCCATCATTTGAATCATGGATTTTACTGATGGGAAATTTTTATTAAAAAGTACAGCAGATGATTTAAAAACCCTTGTTTTAGAATCCTAAAAATATTGTCTTCAAAATCACTGCTAGGTTTTATTTTTATGAATATACAGTAATAAAATTGTAGCATACAATATACATAAAATTTTTATATTCTCAAATACCATGTCATAATTTTTTTTCTGTGCTGTTACTATGTCTCCTAACTGTAATTTTATGGTATCTCATGATGTTAATGTACCATCATTTTACTAACTATTCCTCTGTTAAATACTTAAGTGACTTCCGGGTTATCTGTTTTTTTACTATAGATACCTGTGGAGTGAATGTTTCTATGCAGATAATCCATAGGGGATGTTTTGAACCTTTAAAGCAGGAAAGAATTGCAAAAGTTTGTTCCTATTCTTTTTCCATCCTAAATTAAAATGTCATAAATTTTGTAAAATATAGTACCTCTAAAAAGGAGTATGTGTAATGGGAAAGCAGTTCCCGCTGTAAGAGAAGGGCTTGCCCTGTGGAAGTTCGACCAACAGCTGTCCTGTTCTTCAGCTGCAATCTTCACTGCCCTGGGAAAGGTGATGAAAGTTACGTCACCCTACCGTTCCCAAAGTAACTGTCAAGGAGAGACCTATCTTGTGGCTCCTAATTTTTGCTACAATCAATATTTTATGGGTTCTTGTCCAAATGAACACTGGATTGGGAGACAGGATTTGCCAGTTTAGTATTTGTTTGTTTGTTTGTTTTTAAATGAAGTCCTTGACAACTTTATTTTATTATTTTGTGTGTGTGTACCGTCAAATCTGATCTGACTGCTACAGGAGATTGCCCCTCCTTCTCCAGCACAGCATTTGGTGGATTCGAACCACGTACCTCTGGGATTACAGTGCAGCTCCTTGTCACTAGGCCACCAGAGCTCCCTAATTTGCCAGTTTAGTATTTGTTTGGAACATTCAGTTTCTCTCTGGATATATGATCAGGTACAGTACATCCATCCACCACAGTCCCTCCTGAGTGTAGAAGACAGAGAGCAGTCCCCCTTTCTTTGGTGGGCCAGGCAGCTCTCACAATAGGTAAGTTTCTAGTAGATAGAAACCCTGGGCACAAGTGCTTCATTGTCCCCACAATGGGACAGGAGGAAGGGTGCTGCGTACCTTGGAGTAGAGGGGTGTGCATGTGTGTCACTAACGCATCTGTATGTGCTTTGTTTAGATATGATCATACAAGGCCTTCTACTGCAGCAGGTGGTGCTGTAGGTGCCACATCCCACAGTATACCTGTCCCAGCTCTCCACAGTCCTCCTCATCCTTCTGACCTGTCTGCATCTGTTATAAAAACTAGCTTACATGAGCCTGAGAAGCGTGAAAAGAGAACATTGGTACTTAGAGATCGAAGTGAGTAAGCAGGAACCTTTCAAGAATAGCAGTCTTTTCCTTCCTATCTTGTTTGTTCTTGATGCTCCTTACCGTCTCTTGTTAAGAGGACACATAACTTCTTATCCCACATGTAGAGATAGTAGAACTTTTCAGAAAGGTTCATATGGTTGCAATGTTTTGCTGCTACATCTGCCTTGTGCCTGAAGCTGGGCTGAGCCTGAAGTTTATCCTGGAACGCCATCATAAGTGATCTTTTTGTCAGTGTGTAACTGCTAACCTCTCAGGGTCCAATCATTGAGAAGCACACACTACTCATTCCACAGCTCATCATATTGATAAAGAACACACCAAACACTTTGCTTTTGGGCACAGGATAGAGCAAAGTTCAGATCTGTTGTTCATAGAGTCACTTTGAGTTATAATCGATTCCTTGCCACCTAACAGTAACAACAACAGTCTTTACAGGGAGTGTTGTTGGCTTAGTTGTAAGGAGTTGCACTGTCAGTCCAAAGGCATACAATTCAGATCCACCAAATTGCTCTGTGGCAGAAGAGTGGTCATTCTCCTCCCATGTGATTTACTGCCTTTGAAAACCTACTGAAGAGTCAGCTATGGATTGGTTCTGACTTGATGGTACATGACAGGTCTTTTGAGTTCTTAAGAATTACCTGTGGAAATACAACCATTAAAGGCATTAAAGGCCAAGAAGCAGTCCTGAAGGGCATCCACAACCGAAAAGAAAAGAAGATCTGCATGTCACCCACCTTCTGGTGGCCTAAAATGCTGAGACGCTGAAGGCAGCTCAGATACCCCCGGAAGAGCGCCCCCAGGAGAAACAAGCATGACCACTATGCCATCAAGTTTCCCCTGACCACTGAGTCAGCCATGAAGAAGATAGAAGATAACAACACACTTGTGCTCATTGTGGATGTCAAGGCCAACAAGCACCAAATTAAACAAGCTGTAAAGAAGCTCTATGACATTGATGTGGCTAAGGTCAACACTTTGATTAGGCCTGATGGAGAGAAGAAGGCCTATGTTCGACTTGCTCCTGACTGATGCTTTGGATGTTGCCAACAAAATTAGGATCATCTAAACTGAATCCAGCTGGCTAATTCTAAATATAAATTTTTCTCACCAAAAACAAAAAGAGAAATATCTTTGGAAATACAATAGTGTACTGGAGTTTGGAATATAGTTTCCAGCACAGAATAAGGTTTGAGAGAAAGCTGCAAATTATTAAAAGTTTTTATAGTTCTCACCAGTGAAGAGGTTTCTAGTTCCTGGAATTGTACAGCATAATATTTGGCATGTTCCATCCTAAACTACATGAAATTGATCCTGTCAAATGTTGTACCTCTAAAAAGACTCAGGAGTTTGTATGATGAGAACTCTGGTATGAAAAAGGGCTTATCACAAGATAATTTGTTACTGGCTTCAGGACGTAAAAACTTATTCTAGAATTTTATGTTAGGTCATAACCCTTGGGCCTAGTTTTTGTCTAGCTCCTGAATAAAATAGGCTTAGAAGCAGCAGTGGCATCCACTTCCAAAAAAAGCTTGCCTCCGGAAACTCTATGAACTTGGAGAAAAAAGGAAAGTTTTGTGTTCAAGACTTTTGTTTATAGGGTCGCTGTGGGTTGTTTATGACTCAACAGCACTTAACAACAGCAACGCATATAAATGTAGTAGGTAAGTTTACTGGTAGAAAGATCTCATGGCATGTGGGTTATGTTTTACACTGCTAACCAATAGGCCTGCAGTTTGAACGTAATGCTGTATAGAAGCAGTCTATGGTTTTCAATTTCATTGAAAAAAGTAATAAATACTGTTAGGAATATTTTATACTATTCCTTTTATTTTTCCCTCAACTAATTTTTTTTTTATTTCTCCCTCTTGACCAATTTTTTTTGTTGTTTGCTTGTTATTTTTCCCCCTGCTATAGAGCATCAGAAGTGAAATTGTAGAAAAATTGCTTAATTTGTTAGCTTTGATACACAGCTTATCACAAAAATTGCACAAGTTTTCACTTGTCTCTGTGCTGTTTCATCAGATCTCTCTGGGTTGGCTGAGGGCAAGGCTCAGCCCTGTTCAGCAAGTAGCCCAGGGGGCAACAGCGACCCCCAGAGCAGCCTGGAGATAAAGCCGCAGTCCTACTTGGATGCCATCAGGAGTGGCCTGGAAGATGTAGAACCCAGCAGCTCCTATGTCAGTGAGCAGCAGCTCTGTCCTTATGCTGCCGCTGGAGAGTGCCACTTCGGAGATACCTGTGTATACCTGCATGGGGAGTTGTGTGAGATCTGCAGATTACAAGTACTGCACCCCTTTGATTCAGAGCAGAGGAAAGCGCATGAAAAGGTAAAGACGCAGACCGGTGCACAGGCTCTCAGTAAGGCATGTGACTTGCAGTGGATGACAAAAGACTGGACAGCTTTGCACCCACATCATCTACAGTTGTGCCTGCATCATATACCTGGTACATTTGTACTCTCTTCAGTTTCCAGTTTCAGTTGTCATTTTACCACCCTTTTAATTAAATAGAATAAAGGGGGAAGACATCAGAAACATAAGCAGTGTAGAATTCAGAGAATCTAGCTCAGAGTCTGTTACACACAAACACACTTAACACACATATTTATGTGATGGAATCTGGCTGAGCTGGTTCTAGAGAATTTAAGGAAACAAAGCATAGAACTGAAGAGCCAGGTGTGTTGGACTGGACCTTTAAGGTCATTCATTCACCAAGCATTTGTTGAAGCTGCCTCTGCTCATCTATAGGGTGTAAAGATGGAGAAGAAACACGGAGCTACAAAATAAGGCCAGTGTTCATTTATTCTAGGGCTCACTAATGAGTGACCCAACAATATTGAGGGTTGTTAGAGAAGACCATCTTTCTAGGCAAGTCTGACGCAATCTCTGTGGATGGTGCCTTCCTAGGGAGTTTAGGGTTTTACAAGTTTTCTAACTCTGCACCCTGGGAGCCTTGGTGAGACATAGAGTCCAAGTCTGTCTTCTTTCAGTGTCATCTTGGTGAGCTTACAGGTGCATCAAAAATCAGAGCTTGCTTTCTTCTTTACCAAAGCATGTAAAATTCTTTTTGTTGTACTTACTGGTTTATCTCACATTTGTGTACACTTAGCTTTCTAGGGGAGGATCTAGGTCTGAGAGTCCCCATGCTATGCCGGCGCCTAGAAGGTGTTCACAGGTTACTGAATAAATGAACAAACAAAGCCACTTGTTTTCTTGGAGAGATGTGCTGCTTACCTGGGACCCTGGGCTTGTCACCTTGCTGAACTTGATGTGGTTTAGAGTAGAGAGCATTGTTATCTCACTTTTGAGCCATCAGCAGTCTTCTGACCTGTGTCGCTTCCATGGTCTTAGCACTGAAATGGAGATGACCAAATCATACGAGGAAAACAAAAGGCTGGCCCTGGTTTGAGGTCCTTTTAGTCATCTGAGGGAGGCCTTTGTTCCATGGTGATGTTGAGTCCTGGTGGTAGCAGAGGTGTTTATGGCTGGCAGCTGATCCTGGGGCTTCCTCTCCTCCCCTGTGGTTCAGCTCCTGAGAGGAAGCTTCCCTTCCACTGTGCTTCAGGTCTGCATGTCGACATTTGAACACGAGATGGAAAAGGCCTTTGCACTGCAAGCAAGTCAGGACAAAGTGTGCAGCATCTGCATGGAAGTAATCCTTGAGAAAGCATCTGCTTCTGAGAGGAGATTTGGGATTCTCTCCAGCTGTAATCACACATACTGCTTGTCCTGCATTCGGCAGTGGAGGTGTGCCAAGCAGTTTGAGAAACTAATCATTAAGTAAGTATAGTAGGAGGCCTAGCTGGAGAAGCTGGGTAGAAAGTTCAATCTAGGTTTTTGTTCGTTTGAGTTGAGAAGTGTTATTAGTGCAGGGATCACTACATGAGTGTCCCCCTTCACTAGCTAAGCTGAGTGGTCTTGGGCATGTGGCATAGCTTTCCTGAATCCAAGTGCCTTTTCCTATGAAATAGGGGTAACAATTCCCAGCAAACCTCCAGACACTTAGGGAAGTAATCTTTGTGAAAAGCCCTGAGTGGGTCCAGTACTTAAAATTACTAGTGATGTGATGGGAGACAAATGGCTGATTAACCTTTGTGTCATTTTTTTCATCTGTAAAATAGGGATGTTTAAGGGCCAAATGTCATATAAATAAATGCATGTAAAGCACCTTAAAATGATACATGCACATATGTGTCATGCAACCCACATTCTGCCAAGGGGCAAGGCACCCTTGACATCCTCCTGTGTGTGTGCTTTTCACACACATCTGTCAGCATTCTCAGAGACCTATGTTCATGATTTCACATCATAGATAAGAAAATGAGGCCTGGTGAGTGCCGGTAACTTGCCTACAGTCACAGCTTTATGAGGTAAAAGTGTGCTTTTTAGTACATTCACAGAATTTTGCAACTGTCACTGCAGGTTAGATTTCATCACTCCAGAAAGACACCTACATTGTCAGCACAGACAATTTTTCTAGTCTCTGCTCTAAAGATTTACTTGTGCCTGTAGACATCTTTGTTCTGGACCTTTCATGTAAATGGAACTATGCAGTATGGGTTCTTTCTGATAAGTTGCTTTCTACTCAGCAAGTGTTTTGGGTTTTTTTAAAAAAAAATACATATTTTATTGATTTTCATATAAAAATACCTTTACAGTATGTTTCATTCATATACATTTTGTTTTATACAGTCATTCATATACTATTTCACATAGGGCTGTTGTACATAGGGTCGCTATGAGTCGCAGGTGACTCGACGGCACGTAACAACAACAATTTACAAAATTCTAATACAAATTTGAAAAAATTTTTTCAATTTCCCTCACTCCTTTCATCCATCAGATTGTACAGCCCAATGATTAATCCCCTCTTTCCCCTGTACATCCACATCCCTCTGCTTCCAGCCTCTCCCACCCTTCCTGGATCCTTATACTCATTTTATAATAACAGTCTTATACAATATTTATCCTTATGGAACTGAGTTAGTTCCCTTAGCATAATGCTCTCCAGTCCCTCCCAAGTTAGGTAATAATTTACAAAGTTATTGCTCCTGTGTGCTGCATAGTATTTCACTGTGTGAATCTACCATAATTTCTCAGACCATTCGTTTGTCAGCAAGTGTTTTTAAGAGTCATCCATGTATATATAGATCATTACATTATTCCTTTTATTGCTGAATAATATTCTGATTTATAGATGTACTACCTTTTGTTTAGCCATCCCTCACCTGATAAACATTTGAGTTGTTACCACTTTTTGGCTATTATAAGTAATGCTCCTTCTAAGTGATGTACACATTTTGTGTGGACAGATATTTTAATTTCCCTCAGATATGTACCTATAAGTGGAATTAGTTGTAGGCATAAAGTAACTGTTAAACATTTTGAGAAACTGCCAAACTCATTTCTCATAGCAGCTGTACAATTTTACATCTCGCAACAGCAATGTACAAGGGCCCTGGTGTCTTCATGTTCTCTCCAAAACTTGTTATTTCTGATTCATACTTTGTGTTTAGCTGTCCTGGTATTATGAAAGGTGTTGGTACAGTGGTTAAGCACTTGGCTGTCAACCAAAAGATAGTTCAAACCCACTAGTCACTCACTCTGTCGGAAATATGTGACATTTTGCTTCTATAAAGTTTTAGAGTGTGGCAATCCTACTCTGTTTTAAAGGGTAACTGAGTAGGAATCTCCACAATGACAATGGGTTTGGGTTGGGATTTAATGGCTATGACAGTGTTATCTCATTGTGGCCTTCATTTGCATTTCCCCTAATGACAAATGCATTGGAGAAAGATGGGCAGTCTCTTCTTGTGATTCAGCTTCTGAAAACCCACTGGAGGGTCAGCTGTGAATGGTTCTGACTTGATGGCACACAACAACAATGACAAATAAATGAACTCTGTAGGCACATTTGCTGCTACCTCAAAAGTGGTGCTACTCTGGTAGTTCAAATCTACCAGTGTCTCTGCAGGAAATATAGACCATCTCCTCTCATGCAGTTTATTGTCTCTGAAAACCAGCTGAAAGGTCAGCTACAAGTCATTTCTGAGTTGCTAGCAGTGAGTGAATGACTGATGTTGTACCTTGGGTTGTTTTTTTTTGGTTTTTTTTATGATGCTAGTTTTTTTACCATTTAGGAATAATGCCTGTTGATATCCTTACCCATTTAAAAACTGGGCTATCTTTATTGTTTAGAAGAACCTGCTTTTAACTGTAAAGTAAGGTTTGTATATTTGCCACATAGTTGAAGTTGTACTCTTTAGAATGTTTGATTAGAACATGGTCATACACTTGATCAAGGGCCTTAGTGGTGGAATGCACATAGGGTTTGTAACTTAATCTCTCTCTTAGCCACATGATTCTTATTTCAGGTCTTGTCCAGAATGCCGTGTGATATCAGAGTTTGTCATTCCAAGTGTGTACTGGGTAGAAGATCAGAATAAAAAGAATGAGCTGATTGAAGCTTTCAAACAGGGAATGGGGTAAGTGCTTTGAGTTCAGACACAATCCTCACGTCTGCCTTGGCTCTGGTTTCAGTAATCATCCTCTGTTGTAAGGGACCTGAGAATCTCCCAGAATTTCGTCTCCTATCAGAACCATGCTGTATTTTTTAGATGCAAATGTTAATGGAGTGTGCAGCCTGCCTGTGGGTGCTCCTGTTTAGAGCATTCAGTGCTGTGCTGACTTCCATGGGCTTATGTAATATCTAAGCTGAACAATAATTCCATAGAAATCCTGGATTCACATTTGTGATCATTCATTCATTTGATAAATAACCTATGGAGAAACTACTATATGATGGCCCTTTTCTGGTTGCTAAAGATTCAACACTGAATTATTCCTAACCTCAAATGAGCTTTGGTATTGGAGAAGAGTGCTGAAGGTGCCATGGACTGCTAAGAGAACAAAAAGATTCATCCTGGAGAGGGTTAAACCGGGCTGCTCCTTGGAGGCAAGGATTCTGAGGCTTCGTCTGACATATTTTGGTCATGTAAGGAAAGACTGGTCCTTGGAGAGGGACACCATGCTTGGGAGGGTGGAGGACAGGTACAGGAGGGGAAGGCCCTCAGGGAGATGGATTGATTTGGTGACTGGGGCAGTCGGGATGAGTGTGTCGGAGGCAGTGAGATTGGCACAGGACAGAGCAGAGCTTAGAGATGTTGTACATAGGGTCGCCATGAGTCACAAGCGACTCGACGGTACATAACAACAACAACAACAACAAATAGCTCACATTATCCTTATTGTTTTAAGAAGGAATAAAGAAAATAGAAAATATTTAATGGTGTTCAGTTATGCTAAGGAAAGAAATCCAGGGATAGGAGATACAAAGTGAGGGGGGGTACAGTTATGAGTGTCTTAAGACCAGGGGATGCCTAATGAGGTGATATTTGAGGAAAGACCTAGAGAGGTAAGAATTTGCGGAAAAAGGGAAAATCCTGATGATGGGAGTCACTGAGGGAGGTGCTTTCTAGTTTGTTTGAAGAACACAAGAAGTGACTGGATGAGACTTCATGGAGAGGATGTTAGAGATAAGGTCAGAGTGTTAAAGGTGGGGGTAATGGATGAATATTGTAGTCATTATAAGGGCCCTTGTGCAGTGGTTAAAACATTCATTCACTAAGCAAAGGTCAGCAGTTTGAACGAAATGTCAGCATTTTGAATACATAAGCCACCATGGAGAAAGATGTGGCAGATTTCAACCTTGGAAACCCTGCTTACTGGGCAGTTCTCTGTCCTGTGGGGTCCTTGTAACTCAGTAACCAGAGTTTGGTAGTCATTTCATGAGTTGGATGTTTTATACTGTATAAGGTGAGAAGCCATCGTAGGGGTTTTTATCAGAGGATTGCTGTATATTCTAAGAGGAATGCACTTGCTGGTCCACTTAGATTGAAAATGTATCAGTGACGAGAACATTATCTTGCACAAGGGTAGAAGGAGTGTAGGTGGTGAGTTTTTGGATTTCTGGGTGTTCTGAAGATAACAGTCCACAGAATTTACTGATACATTGAGTATAATGTTGTTTTGAGGGAAGAGGAGTTGAAGATTTAGATTTCCTGTCCAGTGCTACCGCTTTTTGTGTCTTTCCAACACTTTTACTCTCATTGTTCAATTTCTACTTTCGATTGTTCATTTCTGTAAAATGTGTAGTGATTCTGTCACAGGAAGGGAACACAAATACATGCTTTGCTAGGTGACTTGAATAGTGTGCAGTGTCCAGATACTGACACTTGTTGGCAGAATTGCTGTGATTGGTCACTACTGCAGTGCCCCTCTGTCACTTGTGCAATAATTGGTGGGCTTAAGTGCTTGTATTTTGCGTTTTGTACTTTTAGGTAGTTATAGTAGTATGCTGGGGTAATCAAATTTGAACTGGTTCTGGGAGACAAATATTATTTAATCAAACCTTGGTATATAGTTTACTAGGTCTGCCATAGCAAATTCTGCCCGCCCCCCCCCTTGCCATTTTGGAGGTGGGAAGTCTGAAATCCATGTATCAGTGTGGTCTCTGAGAGAGAAGCCCATTCCATGCCTCTCTCTGTATCTTGTGGTTTCCTGGCAGTTCTTGGGCACTCTTTGCCTTTGGCAACATTTTTGACTAAACATGGCCACTTCCCTGTGGTTTCTGTTTGTTTGGGTTTTTTTAATGCTTGTCTCTTATAAGGTAGCTTCTTGTTAGGTGCTATCAAATCAAGCCTGCCTTGTGCCATCTTCTCCATCTCTGGGACAATAGAACCCATTGCTGAAGTCACAATGTCAATCTATCTCTTTGGAGGGTCTTCCTCTCCTTTGCTGACCCTCCCTCATTCCAAGGATGATGTCCCTTTCCAAGGAATAGACTCATCTAGCTACATACATGTCCAAAGTATGAAAGATGAAACTTTGCCATCCTTGCCTCAAAGGAGCACTCTGGCCTAATCCTTTTCTGGACATATCTGTTTGTCCTTTTGGCTGTCCATGAGATGTTCAGTGCTCTTCTTCAGCACTGTAACTCAGACATCTGTCAGCCTTTTAATTTTCCAGCTCTCTGATGCATAGCAGGTATTTGAAAAGAACATGTCCTGAATCATGTGTACCATAGTTCTTAAACTGACATTCTTGCTCTTCAGTATTTTGGAGTGGTCCCTGCCAGCAGACTTGCCCAATGCAATATGTATCCTTATTTCCTGACTGTTGGTACCAGAGGTGTTGATTAATGATCCAAGCAAGATGAAATAATCGACAGCTTCAGTCTTTATCATAATGTGGAAAGGAATCTGTGCTGCCAATTCAAAAGTAAGAAGAAGTTCAAATCCACTAGCTACCCTGTGGGAGAAGGATGAGCAATCCCCTCCCTGTGATTTACTGCCTCTGCTCTCTTTTATAAAGTAGTTGGATTTAGGACCCACCTTGATCTTAAGATCATTGGTTTAATCTGAAAAGTGTCTATTTCCAAGGAAGGCGACTTTCACAGAAACTAGAGGTTATGATTTGGACAACCCAATACTCCTGAAAATGGAAATTAGTGACTATCAGAGCTGTGCAAAGTGACAACTGCCTGTATGGTAGATTATCCATTTTCCTGTTGATGAATACTTGCACAGTTGCCTATTTCTGGCTCTTCTGAATATTTTCAGAATTCCATTTTAACTTCTAGCTTTTAAAGATTTTAAATGGTCCTCAGGATTACAATATACTTTCAGTTAAATTAATATTCTGTTACTTAAAGCTATGTCTTCATTACTATCTTTCATGCTATTGATATTATATATTAAATATGCATCCTTTTACCTCCCACAAGTAGTGTATAATTTTTCCTTTAAAATAAACCTTCATGTTGTCTTTTTAATTAATACAAAAGAAGATGTTTTATATTTTGATATTTATTTTGTTTACTCAGATCTGGAAACAAGAAAGAGGATCAGTAATTAGAAATTATGGATTTGGTAACAGAAATGAGGCTGAAGATAGAATGATAGAATTCTGTACAATCAATGATAAATTCAGTGCAAATACATTTTGTAATAAACACAGAGTATATACTTGGGTTTCACTTGATGGTATGCCTAGGACTCAGATTGATTACATCTGTGGAGAGAATCACTGGAGAAGCTCAGTATCAGCTGTGAAAACTAGGCCAGGTGCTGATTGTGGAAGAAACCATCGACTACACATATGCAAGGTCAAATTAAAAAGGTTAAATCCACAGGAACCAAAATTTGACCTTGATTCTAAATTTCAAACTTGAATTCCAAAACCATCTTAGGAACAGATTTGAGGCCTTAAACACTAATGAGCAAAGGCCAGATGAGCTGTGGGAAGAAATCAAGAACATCATCCATGAAGAATGCAAAATGTTATTACAAAGACAGAGGAGGAAGAAAAGACCAGGATGGATGTCAGAAGAGACTCTGAATATTGCACTAGAATGCCAAGAAGCCAAAGCAAAGGGAAGAAAGCAAGATATTAAGGAGTTGAACGGAAGATTCCCAAGGGCAGTGCGGAAAGACAAAGTAAAGTATTACAATGAAATGTGCAAAGAGCTGGAGTCAGAAAATCAAAAGGGCCGGACTCACTTGGCATTTCTTAAGCTGAAAGAACTGAAGAACACATTCAAGCCTTGAGTTGCAATACTTAAGGATTCTTTGGGCAGAATTATTAAATGATCCAGGAAGCATTGAAAGAAAGGAGTATACAGAGTCACTATATAAAAAATAATTGGCTTTCTACGAAGATGGCGCCAAAAGCGAAGAAGGAAGCCCCTGCCCCTCCCAAAACTGAAGCCAAAGCAAAGGCCAAGAAGGCAGTCCTGAAGGGCGTCCACAGCCAAAAAAAAAAAGAAGATCCGCACGTCACCCATTTTCCAGCGGCCTAAGACGCTGAGACTCCGACGGCAGCCCAAATACCCCCGGGAGAGTGCTCCGAGGAGAAACAAGCTTGACCACTATGCCATCATCAAATTTCCCCTGACCACTGAGTCAGCTATAAAAAAGATAGAAGATAACAACACACTTGTGTTCATTGTGGATGTCAAGGCCAACAAGCACCAAATTAAACAAGCTGTAAAGAAGCTCTATGACATTGATGTGGCTAAG